CTAATCAATTGATTTCCAGTTTCTCCTATATAGTATCCATAACAACCTGGGCACATACTTACATAGTGTACATTTAGTGTATTACATGGCATTGACGAATTTACTGAAGTTTATTTACTGAAAATCATACGACTTGCCATCTACATGTACATGTACTACGTCTGGAGTACTTATACTTGCTGTCTTCAAAGTTCTGATCTTTGTTATATTCATTTAAATAGTACTCGTTTAAGATTTTTTGTCTCTTTTTGTCGATGAATTTTGATATTTCTTATATCCTTTTCATTTTCTGGTTGTTGGTCAGTATATCATTAAGGCTGTTAACGGTTAGGTATATGTTACCAGTATATCATTAAGGCTGTTAACGGTTAGGTATATGTTACCAGTATATCATTAAGGCTGTTAACGGTCGGGTATATGTTACCAGTATATCATTAAGGCTGTTAACGGTTAGGTATATGTTACCAGTATATCATTAAGGCTGTTAACGGTTAGGTATATGTTACCAGTATATCATTAAGGCTGTTAACAGTCGGGTATATGTTACCAGTATATCATTAAGGTTGTTAACGGTTAGGTATATGTTACCAGTATATTATTAAGGTTGTTAACGGTTAGGTATATGTTACCAGTATATCATTAAGGTTGTTAACGGTCGGGTGTATGTTACCAGTATATCATTAAGGCTGTTAACAGTCGGGTATATGTTACCAGTATATCATTAAGGTTGTTAACGGTTAGGTATATGTTACCAGTATATCATTAAGGCTGTTAACAGTCGGGTATATGTTACCAGTATATCATTAAGGCTGTTAACAGTCGGGTATAAGTTACCAGTATATCATTAAGGCTGTTAACTGTCGGGTATACATTCTAGTTCTGTGGATTATCAGTCGTTACCAGTGTGTTATTCTAGTTCTGTGGATTATCAGTCGTTACCAGTATATTATTAAGGTTGTTAACGGGTATATATTCTAGTTCTGTGGATTATCAGTCGTTACCAGTATATTATTAAGGCTGCTAACAGTCGGGTATATGTTACCAGTATATCATTAAGGCTGTTAACTGTCGGGTATATGTTACCAGTATATCATTAAGGCTGTTAACTGTCGGGTATACATTCTAGTTCTGTGGATTATCAGTCGTTACCAGTATATTATTAAGATTGTTACCTGTCGGGTATACATTCTGTCGGGTATATCGTTACCAGTATATCATTAAGGCTGTTAACGGTTAGGTATATGTTACCAGTATATCATTAAGGTTGTTAACGGTTAGGTATATGTTACCAGTATATCATTAAGGTTGTTAACTGTCGGGTATACATTCTAGTTCTGTGGATTATCAGTCGTTACCAGTGTGTTATTCTAGTTCTGTGGATTATGAGTCGTTACCAGTATATTATTAAGGTTGTTAACGGGTATATATATCATTAAGATTGTTCTGTGGATTATCAGTCGTTATCAGTATATTATTAAGGTTGTTAATGGTTCGGGTATATGTTACCAGTATATCATTAAGGTTGTTAACGTTCGGGTATATGTTACCAGTATATCATTAAGGCTGTTAACTGTCGGGTATTAGTTGTTACCATTTCATAATTCAAAAAAATTCAGTCTGTGTAATCGATAGCTTGAAGCGTGGGAATTTTAAATACCGCTTCATTTTTCTTTGCGAAGAGATTCTGTAACGATCGGAATAAAGAGAAAATATTCTCACACATTCAGGTACAAGTTTCTTTTAAACTCAGTAGATAATACAAGGGGTACAAATATGGAAATTTTACATTACAGTCCATTACCTCGGAGGTCCATCCAGTCAAACTCCATTAAAACTATGTGACATGCGTTTAATACATAAGAATTATTGATATATGTATATATATACATTATGATAAATTGAAATAATTTCTGGAGATGTCACATTGTAATTACGACCGTGACATAATGGAAGTTTATTGGTTAAACGCGAGTTTAATGAAGAGATGGGGTAGCTAGGGTTAACAAATTGTCTACATATAGACGATGATAAAGACTCGATATGGTTAACAAGAAAAGTAGTAACCCCACTTGCTGGAGAAATGTAGGGACTAAGTATGTTCATGCCGGTTTGTCCACAATCTGTAGCTGATTATAGAGTATATCATTTATAAATATCTTACCTATATAGTACATATATACTTATCTAAGAAGTGAAGTAAATGTTATGATACGTGTCAAATATTGTCTCACTTATTATCATAGATCAGTGTAATTATCTGTTTTAGACTGTAAACACATTCCGAACTATGTACTAGTTTTAAATACGTCATATATATATATATATATATATATATAAATTCAAACTCAAAATTGATGAAACTAAGTAAAAAAGATAATAATGATAATTATCAAATACTTATTGTATATACTTTTGTATAACATTATCGATAATACAACAAGTACTTGGGTACATCTTGACTAAATTAGATGATTTGACCATGTGGGAAAATTGCCGAAATATTCGCTTTTTAGATTTAAATCCAAGCCATCCGGGTTTACCTCCCTTCAACAAGTGTTAAGTTAACGTTTCGTTTATACTAAATACTATTAAGTTATTGATGATAAGGTATGAATCTGCAAATTATCTTGTTCAATACCGAGAAATGTACTTATATCAATTATGACAACGATACAACAAGCGAATCTTTTAAAAGCAAATCCCTTGTACAAGTATTCAAATTTGATATAGAGACAATAAAACTCGCCGGTGAAAATCTACCATTTGAATGAACATAATATGAAATCAGTACTGCCCAAGAGTGAGCACAATTTGTTCAATTTCATGAAATGCAAATTTATCTAACAGTAGGTTCCTTGTTATTTGGTATCTTTTTCTCAAACTAGCTACATCCGCCCATACGTCAATATACATCGATTTGGGGTAACATGAAAAGAAAGGTTTTATAACGCCGAGACGGACTAACGATCGATAACAGGTCTTTGTATGGACAATACAACCCGTCGTAGAACTACATTCTACTTATTACCGATATCCATTACGAATTTTCTCCCTATTGTACATTTCATTTTTATATCTTATTATGTCCTTTAACCCAGAAATTACATCAACAGGAAATTAAATGGGACTTTATCTTGATTGGTTAAAATATACTTATTATACTTATTGGTTTCAAGCGTTTGATGCACATGTTTTTTAAATTTCTTTACATTATAGGAAGTTTTCCTTTTCCACATGATTGGTTTAATGAACCTTTATAGATCAGCATACAGATGTAATCGGGTTTTATACCACTTTGGGTATTTAAGGTAGCTAGCCAGTCCTCCTTTCATCAGTTAATCTTTAAAAAGGAAAGAAAGAAAAAAAAACCCAAAAAACAAAAAGTATTCTCATCTCTCTCCGTTAAAAGGACTTCGCAGATGTTATGGTTTGATTTGCGTTGTATGTTACTATAGTGCATAAAATTCAATTGCGACAAGATCTAACAATACTGCATGCTGATAAATAACAAAGTTTATGTCTCATTTTTTATGGTAATATTCCGTGAATGTTAGTGTAGATATAAACGAGAATTAATCTTCTTGTCATCAATTTCTCATTTAGGATCTTTTATTTTTCTATGACAAACGATTACGTACAAAAATACTACAACATTAATGAATAGATGAGTATTGGGAGAGTTATTGGTTGATCCATGGATTAATTTTTCGCATTTGTAAAAAGGCACTTGCAACACATCATTTATTTACAAGTTAGTGTTTTACAATCACCAGCGCGTGCGTCAGTTTACAGAACAATAAAAACGCAAGCTCCATTGAAATGTCCGAAAACAATGTAATAAAACTTTATTATTTTATCAAGTGTTTGGGTACTTTTTATCGTATTACATATTCTTAGCAAACAAGTACATGAAATAATTGCTTTCTGTGAATAAAATAAATGAAAATAGCGAGTTCAATACAATAAAAATGTTGTTGTCATTAGATAATGAGGTAATTAAGCACAAATTGGTGTAGTACAAAAGTCATTATTTACTCGACGTTTCACTGATTCGTACGATAGGTACTTAATCAACATCGCTAGACAAAAATAGGATTTTTGTCTAATTAAGGCACGTACGTAGAACATTTTCAACCAGTTATCATATTATCAGTTTCATTTACAGTTTTACATAACCCTGTTACTACATCCAGTCAGCAGAACAGGACAAATTCTGATAATTTTTCATTATCAAAAACAAATCAGTCGACACATCTGTGCACGATACAATGACAACAATGCTTGATCGTTATTTCCTCCGGTGTTTTATATCGGCAACATCTGTTGCCAATTTCAAAGTTAATAAAAAAATCCCAGCAAAACGGATAAAATGGACGCTTCACACATTTGCATAATTTAGAAATGAAAAATAAAACAAGTATCAATTGTTTCTGTACGTATCAACGCCGTCTTTTTAATACTGGGTTTTCGTTTGGTTATCAGCTTTATGGTGTTGTCATTTGTTACATGTAGTACTGTCATACAGTAATTAGTAATTATATGGTCTAAAGCCATTCAAATTCGGAAGACAAGATTAACAAATCAACTACCTTTTGTATACTTATGTTAATGCATTCAAAATATTAAGTTTCATATTTCTAAATATTGTGAAGAATGAATGCATTTAAAGCAAATAAAAAAAGACAGATTTTATGTGCACACGTGATTCTGTTAAAAGTACCCATACGAATCGCATATGAGTGCAACATTCGTGATGATTGATTAGACATAGCATTAATCATAATATATAGCATTCTATTTTCACTATGGATGAATCAGTCATGATTATTACAAAAACATCTTTATAAACACCATGACAATGTTTATCGTAATATGATAAAGATTAACGGTTAAAGAATTATTCAAAGATGCTTTTAAGAATTTGTTAGTAGTTCGGGGTATATATTAATAAGCATAGGCTGAGTAACGTTCCGGAAATGACTTCAGTAGCAAGATGGCGTTCAGACGATGTGGACATTGAAGCCAACCCATTCCGAGGGTATAGGTTTTCCGGTACAAGTTGGCTGTAATGAGAAAAGACACAATAATTCGAAGCCATCACTAGAACTGAAAGAACTAGGGCATCCGGAATGTGAGAGATGATACAATGAAGAAAAGGAAGACTGACTGTTAGACAAGACAGGGACAGCTAGGTAGAGTTAGCAACTATAGTCATAATGACAAACAGAGGAAATATTTGGGACAGTAATTACAAGTATCTGCTATCTCTCGAAGCCCTCCGCTTGACGTTTGTCATGTACTTTGATGTCTCATGGAAATGATTTTAGTGGGAATAAGCTCCTGAATATCGAGTAAGCTACGTAATGTTAGCATGTGAATGATGGAGTTGAATGTCGCATATCAACATTAAAGTTAGAAACAATCAAGTATTGTTTTCATTTTCCATAAAACATTTCGATTATGGTTTTGTTATATGTCAAACTTGTTTCCTGATACATACCCGTGGACATTGTCCATCACAAATCTTAACCTTGTAGTCGTAGAAGAGATGCGTGTCTTTATTCACGGGAGCGAAGGTCAACACCATTCCTTTCTGTGACTGTGCTGGAGGTCCAAGCAGTCTTTCCTCTCCGGCAATGGTCAGGCATCTGTCAAAAAAAAATAAATAAATAGGACATGAGCACATGATTGTTCGTTTACTTTGGTGGCGAGTTATTTCAACAGGCTATTTATAAAAAGGGGGAAATAAGCTGATTCCTTTATTGTTTTTTTGTTTTTTTAACGAGGCTGAATAAAGGTCTCGATATGTAAGGTTTTGTTAATTTTTGAATCTACTGGAAAGTGTGTAAGGGTCCAACTAGGCCTATGTTTATAACTTAGAAATAACTGTTGACAGTGACTTCTTCTTACACACGAGCTTACCCGTCAATAAGAACATCTGCTATCCGTCGAGATGTCTTGGCATCGAAGACCTTCAGATCCCACACCATAAGATGAGCATCTGGCCCTTCAATTCAATAACAAGTATTAGATAGAATGTAAAGAATTGGTATTTCGAAAGAAATCTCACAAAGGTTAACAAAAACGTAATTAAGTTTTCGGGAAAGAGAGAAAAAATGATATCCGCATAATGCGTTTAATTTTTATGTTTGATTAATTTTAATTCTATCATTTTTAATAAAACATCACGTTTCAGACATGTCCTTTATGGTCAGGATTATGATTCCAGATATTGAAACATTTCGAACCCATTTAGTGATATTAATTGAAATTTCATCAAGATGGCGAACCTTTCGAAGATTATCAAAACATTCTAGTGGTTTGGACAGTTACATGTAGAAAACTGGAAAATAACATGTTGGTTCTTACCTCTTACTTCAGCCGAGGGCGTGAACTCCAGCGAGAATTCGTGGTACATAGGTATTTCCCCAGTTGTTTTGATATCATAGTGACTGTCTAACAGTTTAACCTCGTATGGCCTTGAATTTAGCTTTTCCTCGACAGAACCTGTGACACTGCAGATCAAAGAATGCAATAACAGCCAAACCATCAGTTTTTGTCTAATTTTGATAATCCTGAACATCGTTTTCTTATCACGTAAATTTGAGCTACATTCTTAAATAACATTCTGGAAAGGCAATTACAGGAAATATCTTCATTGATATTTTACTTTTCTCTGTTATGATATACTATATAAAAAGATATTAATTAATGAGTCGACCAAAATAGGTGGGTGCTATTTATAACTGTGGTGCCATTGATGGGATAGCTTGACTGATTTATTCGAGAAGGTGAGATTGGAAAAGAACAGCTGTTAGTTATAAAGACTATATATGCATGCCATGTCGTCAGTGATGCTGCAAGACACCAATCGGAAGCTACAGTGACTCCTAGTGCCTCTTGATCATTTCATTTACATAAATATATAATTTATCACTGATTGAGAGAGTGAGAGAGGGGAGAGAGAACCGGTTTGAATGTAGATTTTGAATGGTATATACTGTAGCTATGATGTGTTCAAAATAAACTGTACATATTCTATCACGGGTGTGGTTTTTAGTTTAAAAATGTCAAGTATTACCGGTCGGTACTCGTTTTAGTTAAAGTAACATATTATCGTTTTTGTTGTAATTTACTTTTCACGGCTTTTGAGGAGAAATTGCTTCTAATTTTATGGTGTGTTTGATTGGTCAATACCTAAACCTTATACAATCAAATAAAAACAGTTTACATATGCCATTGAATTATGAATCAGTGTAGTTTATATATTGTCTATTTATCTACCTAAAATGTTAATGATAAAAAAGATTTATCTTATATGGCATTCAAAAAAATGATCTACCATTTGTTCCTTTCCTCTACATTGATTTATCTACCTTGGACTGTTATCATCTACATTTTGCATTATAAACATTTTCCATTCTTTCCTTTATACTGAGTTACCTACCTTTATCTGTGTTTACATTTACATGGTTTATTTGTGAGTGCCTATATTTTCTGCTATTTTTGTAACCGGACGTTTATTACTTCCCTTGTACAATTTTTTATATTTTACAACAAGTAATGTATACTTGTCATTGAATCCGCTGACTAACATTCATAAACACGTTATACATTTGTACAATGGTTTTGTAATATTATTTTTAATGACGATGACCTTAATTGAATACGTATTATAAAACTTACCTATTTTTGTAAGTACATTCGAACTCTGTGATCCAATCTAGTGGTGCGACCTTCCCAAATGCTGTTTGGATTTCTACATGAAACATCTGCACTGTTGTAATTGGCTAGAAAAAAACAAAACAATTATGAATAATTTACTAGCAGTTTCTTATCCTAGAACTCCTGTTATGAATCATTGTAAGAAATACTCGTTGTTTAGGTTGATGATTTCATCAAATTTTATATACTTTAAGTTTACACGGAGAAGTATTTTGATCGTAAAGTGAGATTTGGATATATAGGGATTAAATCTAAAAAATGTCAGAGAGTATCTATCATTGAAGGAATATATGTGATGACTTAAGAATCTTCAAAAATCGTTTGTTATGAAGACGTCATATTACCTGCATATAATTACATCATCAGAGGAAATTGTGGTAACGTGGTCTATGTTATTCAACGATAACATTGAAATGGCAAAACAGTCCAAGTTGAATTTTTTTTTTCATTTTATTTTTCGTATTTTTTCAAATATATTGGTGCAGCTGAATGTAAAGGAGTGTTCGCATTTTATTAAACACACCAGCAACGTATTTAATGGCTTATCCCAAAGACAAACATATGGAGGTAAACAAACAAATGGAATATAAAAAAACTTACATCAATAACCATGGTATGTAATGCTCCTGCGCATGGGTGCCCGGGTTGTGGTAATCTGTCAACGACCAGTTCGTATTTGTATACATTTGGTCCGGCATCTATCCGTGAAAACTGACACATTGGGTGGCCATGGAGTGATACGGACTTTGCGGATGACAGATAAGTTATAATGGTGATGTTTTTTGGTCCACAACGCACCGTATCTGAAAATAAGAGAATCATTTTGTTTTCGTTTATTAATTTCATGTACTTCGTCAGTAGTTAGTTAAAGCAACTAAAGTTGGTTAATTCTCAATACCCATCATTTGTTCATCGTGTTACCACAACATGTTTCGATTTAGTATTGATAGTAACAAAACCGTAACAGTATCAAAATGCACTTACTCCAGTCTCTTTAATAATAGAATCAGGAACAACAAAAAGATTACTTCGAATTAGATTTGTAATAACATAAGGACACTTTGTCAACAATATTGTAACAATGAATACATGCTACACCCAGGTAGAAAAAGTGTAGTAACTTACCACAATGCATACCTTCAATAGACATGTTAATTTCTATGACATTTAATGAAAATGCAAAGTAACGTCAAGATTGAATAACAGCCGAGCCTACCATTCTTGATACTGCAGTTTTCTCCGAAGTATCCATAGTCACAGTAACACCAGTCCGAGCCCATGGTTGTCACACACTCTCCGTGACCACTGCAATTGTTGGCACAATTTGGGACCCCTTTTGGAAATAGGTATTGAGAGACTGTTTAGTACATTTGGGGATTTTTACTAAGACATACACATTAAACAAGACACATTAACCTATACTACATCATCATCATCATCATCATCATCATCATCATACCATTACTACCATAATTATGTCGATTTCTGATTTTAATTAATATACAGTAAGACATAACATTTTAGCATAAATATGATATTCTAGGGTAATGATTTTATAGACAAGTTTACTCATAGAGCTGTTCTGTTGATAATGTACCAGCTTCTTTCAGTCACCTTCATCAGACAAATGACCTTTCAAAAAAATAAGAACGTTTTTCCAAAAAAGGAGGTCTGAGTTTATTTATTTAGGAGTATGATACATTGCTTTTACAAAGGCTTGCTGTTTTGTTCACACCGTGTGAACGTTGTACAGATGTTGGTACCTAGAAATGCACTGTTCGCCAGGAAATTTCAATTTTAATCAGACCACAATAACTAATTTTCGATTAGATCAATTGCAGTGACATATCCATTTGACGGATATATATATATATATACATCTATATATGTATCAGTGAATTAAAGTGATTTGTAAATTAGGATATTAAATAAACTGGCGTCAAGTGTTGATTTAATTAGATGGACTCTTGAGTGATGTAATTGAAATTCGGGTGATGTGGAACTGATATCTCTATACATTTATATCAAATTATTTTATATATCTATAGCAAATCTTTAATGATGCTTGTAAGATTGATTGGTTGGAATATCTCACTGTTTCTCTAACTCGTAGAAGAACTATGCTGATCCACATATCTTTGACAATGCTATTACGTTACGTGGAATATCAGAATTAAACTTTAATCAGTGATCAGTCAAGCATATCCTTGGAAGATATGAGGTTGAACGTTTGGATGCTCGTTAGTATAATTAATGGTTTCTATGAGCCATATATTGCACTTATTTCTTTCACTAAAATAGATTTAAAGCATTGCATTGCACTGATTAACGTTTTGTATCAATAAAGATATATCTATTATTGTCACAATTCATGAATTAATCGGTTCATTGCTTTAACTGTGAAGGTGAGCTGGCACATTGATTTTAAAATGCTAGTATTGATTTCTGTTTGTCTTCATGTTGTATATGCAATATGGTCTTATTTATTGATGCCCTTTGTTACCCATGTTAAAATGGTCATTTCAGAACCTTTTTACGATAAAATATACTTGTCAAAACCTATTTCACTCTTTAACTTAATAGTTGTGGTTATGATACGAATGGATGCAATATATTTAATTTAGACAATGTATCATAATGGTAAACAGAAGGAGACATACACAAGGTTATACTTACACTGAGGTACTCTGCAGTCAAAACCTCGAAAACCATGAGGACATTCACACGTTTGTTTTTCTGTACATTTGCCATAATTTTGGCAGTAAAAGCCAGGTCTCTGACAGTAACTGTTAACTGAAGGAAACAAGGCATTAAGATGCTATATCAGCATCGCTAATAATGTTAAATTTTCTTAAAATCTGGTTTATATTTGGATTAATTACAAAAAGATCAATTGAGCCATATGAATTTATACATATGTCTATCATTTTGGTATGGCGAAGATATTGTGATGCGTATGATAAATTGATAGCAAATTAACGCCAAAGGAATCCCTAATGAATAAAGATCATCATGAAACACCATTGATTGGACACTTTAGATAGAAATAATATAGTTCTTACCAAGGACAACGAAAGTGAGACCAACGAGCAACGAAGACAGCATGATGAAGGATGACATCTGTCAATATAAATTATGATTAATTAGAGTAATTTTCTGATGAGAAAACTTTCTATTTACTCTACACGTTGACGAATGTGTGTTTGTGTGTTCGGGTAAGTTCAGGTGTTGCATCGTATAAGCATGTGAACGTATAAATGATGCACAAGGAAATAAATCAAAAGGTTATATTCGACAATATAAACACAGCGGAACATGTCTTAACATTCTATGTTATTACAGAAAAGATAAGGTTTGAAAGATAAACATGAAAATGTCGTGATAATCGAAATAAAGAATGCACATGTATATGTTATTTTGAAAACAAATACGTATTTAGGGTTATTTAAAAAGAATACAAGACTTTATCTTGTGTGTGGCATTTAGTCAAGGTGTACTCTATCAGGTTTGATTTTTCCGCAGAATTACCGATATTTAACGCGGATGAAATATTCATGAAAAAGAAAATATTGATTTATTGTTATATAAAGGCGAATTAATTTTTCTTCACGACAAATAAATAAATGATAACATTAGTAATAATACTACTAATAATACAAAAACAGAAAAAATAAAAGACAGAGGATGTAAACTTTGTCTAAAAAAATAAAAACAAACAACATGTTAATCAACATGGTATAGAATTAACAAGTAAATAAAAATGAAATGGTGTCTTTTGTTCTGAAATTCCAGATGTACAACTTTAGAGAGAAGCAAAGTTAGCAAAGAGCATTACATACATGAGAAATCTCTCTACCATTACCTAGAAATGATTACACTGCTAAATTAATCTCGTCGACGGCTATCATATAAAGTTATAAAAAATGTGTAAATCACAGAAATTTGAATTGCTTACATTTTAGCTAATTATATATTTTTGTCAACGGGAATGTAATTATACATTTTTTTGTGGCCGTTGTGTATATATGTGACGTAGATGTTAAATATTAGCAATGCGTCTGTCACGACCTGTCTCCTACCTAGTTTACATATCCTTACTTCCTCTTCTGTAATCAGTTGAATGATAATGACGAAAACTTTCCATTTAATTAAGTTGGTGACGATAATGCTTAATAGTTCTCTGTTAATTTGGATGATAGAAAATCTTACCTTTATGATAGACAGATGATTGGAAATTACGACAAATTATCCCGAAAATCCTTCGGACGAAATATCAGCCCGTGTCTGTAGATAAGTGTAAAGATCTCGCGACTACAACAAGGATCAGTTATACTGAATACCTAATATGGAAAAGTAAATCTTGTGTAGCCCCAGGGCACTCCATCAGTGTATGTTTCGTGACAGTGTTACGGGGTCGTCAAATATCATTCACCAACTGGTACATATGAAATGTATATCGTCATTTTACTCAACGAGATTAAAATAGTACATCATTTTCCAATTAGTAATAATTATTTTTCCTACCATGTATCGGATCAGACAATGTTTCTGTGAAGAGAAAAAGCAAACTTCATAAAAGACGGCTTTTCCCACTTCATTGAGTTTTGTTCATCTGGTTATGCAAATGTCAGCTGAAGTATCACAAATCCGAAATTCACGTTGGTCTTTTTTTAATTGAAATTGATAATTTCACCTTCTTTTTAGATAAGATTAAGAAATAACCTCCCCTATCTTTTTCATGGTGTCATACAGATAAAATAGGCATTGAAATTATGAATGTATTATTACAGAGTGACATAGCAACTATCAATAATAAGTTGTGACAGTATATATACGTTCTGTAGAACATTTTAGTTGTTATTGGCTAGTCACATAAAATACAAAGCATTAGATGAGACGTTAGGTGAAGGAATTGTATGTATGCTTATGTGTTATGCATGAAAGTTTTGAAATGTCTTTTTAATAAATCAACAGATAAAATGTTCATAAACATGCCATGTTTTACGTTAATATTACCACTGATATTGTGTATATTATATTTATTGTGTATATTGTGTCACATCACTGTTATTAGCAAATAATGTCAAAAACACTCATTTCATATCCTAAATTTATTGCACTGTGTATCATGACTAGGCAGAGCTGTGATTCGCTGAGATATATTATTGACTTCAATGTGACGTCATAGCTTCATGGCACTGTATGCACTGTGACGTCACCAAACAGAGATATATAAGTTAGTATTACCACTGATATAATTATTGTACCTATCATTTTAATCACATCGCTGTTTTCAACAAATAATGTTATATCATTAATTTCATATCCTCTTTGTATTACACTGTGTATTATGACAAGGCAGAGCTGTGATTCGCTGAGATATCTTATTTACGTCATTGTGACGTCATAGCTTCGTGGTACGATATGCATTGTGATGTCACTAAAGAAAGATGTATCTGTGACAAAATCACTTATTTAGATTCGTTTATCTACTTGCTGTGTTAACGAATACTTTAGCCATTTGATAAAACAGCAATATCTCATTAGTTCATTGTCCATATAAAATATACGAATCTCAAAGGCTTTATTGAATTCAGGGACGCGTTTAAAACTCACATGAATTGATATGCCAGATCCTATGTATATAAAATTTTAATATAACAATGAAAGTAATACAACATTCTCGTAAATGTTAAACTGATATAAATCATTGGTATACACCGTCTTTATCTGAAATAATTTTTGCGGTCACGTTAAATGAATTTCATTAGACACAAACGTGGTCATTAATGGTGTGTATTTCAATCATTATCATTCACTCACATCCCCTATGTGTTGTCTTCGATACATATGTTTATATGTCCAATGCCGGTTTATTTTCGTCGCTTGTTTTTGGTCTGTTGAATAGTTACGCTTTTGCTGTGAGTTGTGTCCGAATATTGTTAGTCAGATGTGATCTTTACATCAAACTTACAGAACTTTCATACATAAGTGTCTATACGAAAATGATTAATGGTATTACGCAAGAAATAACAAAGATAAAAAAGCACACTTACCTTTAGTTTGAACACTATCTTATGTGATTTTCATCAAAATAAATTGTTGTTGCCTGGTGTTTCCTTATTCGTACGAGATTCCTTTTGTATATTAAATAATCACCAGCTAAATGAATGACAAGCGATTTGAAATGAAAATTTAAATAAAATATGTTAATCAATGTAAAGGTGATTGTATGCTAATTATAAACAACAGGATTTATGTTTAATGGCCCATGTGATGTACATCGTGTTACAGTATATCCACCTACGTTGAGATCTAAACTTGTTTTATTGTCATTATTATGCTTTTTTATTTATAGGATCATATATTTATTTTAATACTTTTGTTTAAAGAGGGTAAATATTATTCTGCTACAAAGTGACCCGAGAGGGTCATGCTGACGAAGACACAATATTTGTTTAGTTGTCATCATGATGCCATTCAGAAACATTTGATGTCAATGTGCCTTGTGTGTTATATGCCTCTGGTGCTCGTTAACGTGCTTAGTGATATCGTTTGTTTCGAACTTGTTCTCATTTGAAAAAAAGGCTTATTACTTTGGATCTATCGAGATGTACATGGCCGGTTAAGCCGCTGTAGTAGAAGACTCTTGCCCCGTTACAGACGTTCTAATATTTTCCTTCGAATACTTGCTAAATGGTTTACGTGTAAGCATAATTTGTTGAGATTTGCCAGTCGATTTTGAATTTGAAAAAAGAATTTGTTCTATATTTTATTATTTGTATTTCTTTAATGTTGTTGTCCTATTGTCCTTTATTTTTGTTATTTCCTTTTTCCGTGTTTCGCTTCATTAATATATGCAATGATGACGAGCTTTATGTTAAGGCACCAGGTACCTAGTATTTCAGGCACAAATCGCACTTCAGCATGTCGGGTGTAGAGGCCGTGCGATAATTTTTCGTTTAAGACCATATACATTTTACGAGTGACAGAATATAAATATTTTAAACGAGTGAAATATATTTGGTATTCAATGGAAAAATATTTTCGTTTTATTATTTTTGATATGACAATCGTCGATTCAAATAAGTCTGAAAATAACGCGATGTGAAACATGACCATACTCCTAACGTTAGATAATTATGACATTACACTGGACAACAAACAAGTTCCATTTTCACTATAGGCAGTGTATTGTGTTGTTTTATATAAGTTATCTTCGAAAAACTGCCATGTAAACCTTTATGAGCTATCAACTGAAAGGAAAATCAGTAGCTTGCAACGCCAAGCATTTGAGGATAAATTATTCTTCGCTTCATTCGCAACGCGCAGAATCGTCGAATTTTAATGCTGACAATCAAAAGTACCGCTATAATAGGTCAAAACTAAAATCAACGTATATCGTTTAAGGTGAAACAGTGATGATATTTTTTTTCTAAATAATATATTTTCAAATATTTCACTGTCGCTAAAACAATCATAGTTTTTCCGTCACAACCTAGCTTGCTTAGACAATTATCCTTAATCAAAATTTTCTTATTTCGTATAGAAATAATTCAGAGGAACAGACCATTATCTATAAATCCTACATCGGTATAACTTGTCCATAATCATGCTGCAGTCACCTGTTTTGTTTTCTGTTTTCAATTAAAACATGTCGCAAGCTGTGTATGTCGCAAGCACATACGTATTTTCATCGAGCTCAACATTCAAGCCTTGCTATTTGGAGCGTTTTGTAATTAAACGGTCGGCTTTGTCTCCTTGTGGTAGAAAAATACATTGAGATGTTTGTTATAATGTTATATATAGTTTATGTTATCCTTATTGCGTCCCAGTGTTGATCCCGGAATAGAGAAAACTATGATAAATATATCAAATTATGATAAAAATAGTAGAACAATATAATAATCGTTTTACAAACTGTACTAGAATTAAGAATCGTGAGGAGATAATATCTTATATATAATATTATCTTAATTCTTGTCACGGGAAAGAAAATATTCCTTGATTATAAATGATTTTAAAATATAAGCTGTATCTTTGATGACCTTTTGTTGTAAGTGTGTCTGTCACTGTCAGTATTCATTTTAAGAAATTGTGAATATTGTAAACAAGCCCCTGGATATCGTGTCATGGACATATGAATATTTTCGTTATATGACCATGCATGTTGCCGTCTAGAAACCATTTTGATGAATAAGTTATATATATATATAGCGAAGATTGATAGGTATTGTTGTGATGTTGCAATACTCTTCTTGATCGTTTGTTACAAAATGAGAAATTAGAATTGCAAATGGATTCAAATGACACATTTCATCCATTCGTACACGTATGGACTATTTTAAACGCGTGTAGTTTATTGTCACGTATAAAACGCTCGATACTTTAACTTAGTAACTACTGTTAGCTTGGTCCCGAGTCAAACATGTTAAAGAAGTCAATGAAAGAGTAAAATATTCTGATTCCGAAAAAATATATCAATACTCCCCACATTTCAGTATGGTTCGTTTCAATTCTTATCTGTTTACATGTCATTCTAAAGTGATATCACCTAATCTGATTGGAGGCCATTTAACTGAATAATATACTCTCTGCAAATTGTACATTTCTGGATGATTCTATATCAATGACTTTTTTCTCAATATCATGATTTTTCTGCAAGATGACAGCCTGACAGACAATCTCAAAACACAGGATGGGAACCTTTTTGTCCTGATGAAGTCATTTGGAAATATCATAATTCCCTGTGCGATGTAAACTTTGACATGATCGTTAATTGGTATGCCAAATAATTTGGGTTTTGTTTAACTTATTCTCATTTTAGGAACGTGACATTATTTACTTTCTCTTTCGGTAATCCTGGTCTTATTTTCGTAATACGTTTTCACAGGTCTCCATGTAAATCTTTCTTTTGTTTATAGTTTGACATAGTTTCATCTATTTTGATTTTCTGTACACAAGTCGCAGAGAAACACAAACTTACACTAGACAGGGATCGCATCACATACAACGGATTTTCACCTGATCTTTAAATGTCTGAAATTGTTAAATACCGACTAAACTGTATTTCTTTTTCATATGAGCATAATTTTCATTTCAATTATTCCTTTAAAGTCATGCTGTTTTATGGAACAAGATAATTAAACGAACAATAACATATTTTAAGAGCTAATTTTCGCATCATATTTCATATGTGTAAACTGTAAACATAATTTATAATCTCTCTGAATTTTTGTTTACTTCTTTTGCTTTCTTTGTTTTTTCTTTAACAACAAATACAGCACAGACTAGCATGTATGGGGAGATCAGACTTGGATACCTTGGCAAAAGGTAGGAAGCAACCATCGCATTTGTTTGCTTTGTTTTTTTTCGGGAGGTATGCTTTGCTACAGTCCAATTCGATAGTGAGCAACCATAGGTAGGCCTGAGGTTAATTTTAGACAAAGTTTGAGACCAATGCGAACGAAAATACTACACCCATAGGAAATTAATCATTCTCAAGACTCTGCCTTTGTAGTGATTCAGTCCTAACAGTCCTATACTGTCCTAACTGGAAATAAATAATACGTAATAAGACGTAAACTTTGTCGTGGGTCAGGTATTATCACTATGTTTCTTTTGTAATTTTTGGTTGCGATATGGAAACTGCCATTTAGAGCGTGTACGGATGTGTTTAAAATTAGTTCCTTTTCTAAATGATTTTAATTTTCAAAGGGTATACATCAGTACATTTCTGACATATTAAAATAGTAGGTGTTCAGCCATCAGGATGTTTTCTACTTATATGCAGGAAAGGTTTCATAGTGGTATACACCCATGCATGTATATAGGTTTTTATGAATATATCGGGAATGTGAAAAGGTCACAAGTCTGATTGAAACGTGACTTAAAGTGACATTTTCCTCTCAAATGATGATGTGTAACCTTAACTGCCAGCTGTTGTGACTCGGTGAATTTAAAGTGTCCACAACGCTTAAGTTCCCCAAATAGTGGTATCACACTCAAGAACAAGTCAAGATATGTTGAACATTTGGACATTTATTACAATGATATCATATCTATTTGCGGAAACTGTCATTAAATCTGTAGTCATAAAGAGTGTTATTATTAGAAAATAGTCCAATGATATGATAGTAAAAAAGGTTAATATCCTCAGCAGCAGAACCGGTTCCGGAAGAGAACACAAACATTCGTAATAAACGTTCTATATGGAAAATGAATCTTCACAATTCTATTAAATTATCGACAGTCTGAAGGCCCGCAATGACACACCTCTTTGAAAACGTAAAGAAGATATTCATTAGTGTGGTTATCGATGGATACTTGGCACTTTCGCTGACATGATGTTTTTGCTGTTGTGTTTGATTTAATTCGTCAGAATCAATCCATCCTCTCACTGCAGCACGATACGAACTCCTGGGCGATTTTCTGGTATTCGACTTACTTCACAGACGGGCTACAAAATATGAGATGTGTTACTTAAACTTAAATCTATTTTTCTTGCTTTTGTGCATTTTATTTTTCCTTTTTTTAAATGATAACATATTACTTTCGATTTTGGAAGGTAGACATAAGAGACATTCTTCATAAGTAATTAAATGCATTTTTGAAACAGAAAAGAAACGGGAAAACCCACCAGTATCGGAAAATAATAATGACGTTATTATTTATTGAATTTGCAACATCGAAAGCATTGTCGATTACAGTAAGATACAACTCTAAATAAAGTTCAAATGTTAGAAGCTATATTCTAATGAGACGTCACTGCTCATTAGCGATAACTTACCTTTGAACACTGGCCTTTGCATACCCTCACTTTATAGTCGAAGTACAGTTCCACGGCTTCGTTTAATGGATTGAGGGTAACCCAAGTTCCTGATACTCGTGTTCCATCTTGACGGAGATGATCTGCTACAAACTGATCACCGAATAACAAGTTTTTTCCATTAAATGTTGTGCACCTTCAAAGGAAATAGAAAACACATTATCAAATTTTTTTTATTAATTTACAACAAATATATCATTCATGAAATATGATAAAAAATGTATGTTATTTTTTTTCTTTTATTTGACAACAAACTTAACCCGCTTTATTAAGATATGGCCATTATCCTCACACATTTTATTGCATCAAACGAAAAAACAATGATGGTTTCTCTGAAACCGCTTGTGTATATAGTGTAGCCAATAACCATATGTTGTACTAAAATATTATTGGTTTTAACAATTAAACAGACTTTATCATCTTTTGAAATAATATATATTATGTAATTTCTCACCCGTCCACGATGATATCATACATCTTCAGTGATGTCTGCGCGTTGTACATAACCAATTCCACCACTAATACTTCGTGATCAGTTAGATTTGCTACATGATTGTAGAAAAGACACATTAGAGCAAATTATCTTCCAATACAAAAATTGTATAAACGACACTTCAATGCTTAGAATGTTTTCACATAACCTAGATTTAGATACAGTAACGCCCAATTTTGTAAGATTTGCTACAGGGTTGTACAAACGACATATAAATGAATTTAATCTTACTTTGTATAAAAGACACAAATGTGCTTAGAATCTTTCAGCACGATTTACAATTAGATAACGTAGCGCCAGATAATGAATTAAACTGCACTATACAGTTGTTCCGTCCTTTTAGGACTCGTCCGTGATACTAAGGGCCTAATTTGTGAATTTTTGGAGATTTCTTAACAAAACAATGTAGTTATTAGATATAGTTTAGGTATGCCATTAAGTAAACTGTATCATAGGTCTAGTTCTTTCTGGCGGATCAGTTTTGCTAAGGAACTGATTGTATCGAAATTTAGGTGGCGATTACAGTAAAAAAAACCTGACCGTTTGTGTGAAATATTGGGAGGCGCACTGTCGATAAGTGTTAATGATCGTCAAACATGTGCGTTTATTCTAAATCTTATCACATCTCGCATGAATACATACACACTGCATGGGACTGACAAAAATAGATAGATATAGCCCTCTGTTATTTCTAGTTTGTTAATACATATTCTTGGGTCCAGTGTCTTTTCATGGCAGCGAGACTTGGCACAAGTTTGAACATTCATAAAATTCAATGTGAATATGTTTACGATATGTTTTCAATTCATTGATGAATATAGGCTTATGTGAGAATATTTCTACCAATTACATATGAAAACATATCAACGGGTTTTTTTTTTACTTATATACTTACAGAAAAATACCAAGGAGAATTCTTTACTCTGTGTAGTTCCGGCACCGTTTTGTAGAGGATATTGCAAATAGTCAACGATATCAACTTCAAATCGCTTGTATTCTTCATTTCTTGTAACTGAACCGTTAGCACTGAACAGTAAGGGAACCATGTAATATCATCTTTGTGTCTGTTCCCATCCCAGAGACATAATTTATTGTGATGTATATGTACGCAATTATTCAGCACAATTCTTTACAAATGTATGCAAGATTCTATGGTCACACTGTTGTTTATCTTATCATTTTAATAATATATTGAGAAGTATGTGTCGATCGGAAATCAGAGATAAAGGTTTAAAAAAAAGTTCAAAAGGAAAATAAAAGAATGAACATTACTTGCTTGTATATTACATTTGTCTGTTTTCTGTGATGCATATGCTGTTACAAAAGTATAATTGGCTCCAAGCATCTTATAACAAATAACAACACTAACCATACAAATGGACTTACGTTCGCTCATATGTGCATGTGAATTCTGTTATCCAATCAAGAGGAGCAAATGTTGTATGCTTGCGTTGTACCGACATGGCAAGTGTGTACGAAAATACCCCGGGCTGGAACGTAAAACACGCAGTCAATAAACACAGGATGTACTTCCTTTATCAGCGATAATTATAACAAGAAAGTGTAATATATATATATATAACATTAACATGCTAATTTGGACCTGTTACCATGTATTAGTTTCAAAACGCCTGCAAATGGTTGATTCGTACCCCGAGCTCTTCGCGTTGATAGCCTTCACAAGGAGATCCAGGACTGGCCATCATTGGGAAAGTTCTCTTGTAGACAAATTCGTTTTTCGCCATTTCTGTCTTGTCCAATTTAAGAGAACAGTCATCGGATCCATGCAGACTTATGACCCGCTTGCCCGGAGTGCGCATGGCCACATCCATACTAAACATGTTACATGTTATCGTTTCTGAAAATGAGGAAAATGAAGAAAGTTTATCCGGATAATGTGTTACAGATAAGTACAATTGAATCTTAAAGCTATAAATAGTTTAACATATCCACATTCCTTATTGCTTACAAGATTGTGTCTGTCCATCCTATTAAATAAAATGATAAAGATGTGTTTAAATATGAAAATTGGGGAAAAAATCTTGGTTTCCTCATTTTTCGATAAATTAATCGTTTTAGGTTTAAACCTCGGTAAAGATTGATCCGTTGGGAACTATTGTAGTCATTGGTAAAGAAACGATCACTTTTTACTCACCGTTCTGTTTTTCACAGTTATCACCGTACCAGCCAAAGTCACAATAACAGTATGTTCCAAGCACACAGGTTCCGTGATTGTTACACCTTTTGTAACAGTCTACATATTCTAGGAAGAAAACATTAGAAAAAGGTGAAATAAGGATTAAATCAATTTTGCAAGCCCTGGCAATGACGATATCGTAATAAGCGTTTGTACTTGAAAGAAAAGAAAAACATTCAATTTAGAAAATACAGATATGTTAACAGAATATCAAAATAAAACTTAGTATGTTAAACTCCGTCTGCTAACATAGATTGCAATAAGGTATCCTGTAATAATCCATGTTCATTAAAACGAAATAGAAAACCTCTTATTGCAGATGTCATTGATTATATTTATCATTGAGACATATGTAATATTGAATTTCACAACTTAATTAGTAGTAGTGATCTATAGTAAGTACGCCGTACGCGAGAAAATATTTTTCGACATCCCTACTAATAGAAAAATAGTATTTTGAAATTCATTTTAATATTGTTCTATGTTCACATATAAGTATAAAAGCAAAAAATCCTTACTTGCTGGTGCACGACAGTCATAACCTGCCCAGTTCTTGTCGCATTGACATTTCTTATCAAATGTGCAATTGCCTTTGTTCATACAGATGAATCCAGGCCGTTGACAGTAGCTATAAGCTGTGGAAATATAACAAATAATTGCATGTATTATTGTTATAATGAAATTTCGAAATGTTTTATGAATACAAACTCAGTGATTGAATTCTATATGTATTACTAAGCTTTTGGAAGTCGAGTGTGCATAGAAATGTTGTAGGTAACAGTGACTACTTATGATGATCTATATCTGTTCATTATACAAAAGAAGTAAGATACTTCGTTAAGTTAAAACGCTTGCAATACAAACCTGACACCACAAATGCAAGAAATGCTAGTGCTTGGAGCAACACCACGTGGTTCTGGATCTGTGATAGAAAAAGGAAAATTTGATTTACAAGCATCTTAAGGCTACATCATGGGAAAACGATTAATTAGTTTATAGTTGTTTTCTTAATAAATATTATTTAACGAAATGTATCACCTCATGAACAACACAGTCGTTTTTGCTGATGTATGTGCATACAGATTTTCATCAATCATTATAAAACTAAGATCAACAGACTGGTGATGTTGATGTTTTTGCCATATATGTTATCCTATGAGCAGAACACATATCACCTATAAACACAATGTCCTCCCTATCAGGAAAAAGTTGCAGAAGAAAAAGGGTCACAGCGTCTGCCCCAAAGCTAGAGATGGCCAAATTGAGGTAAAAATAAACACATTTTTCAATCGATAAAAAATTATTTGTACCGTTATCTGACTTTACGAACGTGATGGTCACAAATACATTAGATTTCATTAATGAAAACCCCCACATGTTTTTTTTTTTTTATTTTCCTGATTGGAAATAGGATCTAACTAACAACCTATTAATTGTAACTTGTTTGATGATATATAATGTCAACAAATTGAAGTATACTAGATTCGTTCATAAATCTCATGGTAATGGAAACTTGATTAAGTGAGTAGATCATGATTTTGAAGCCACTACAGCTTAGTCGGTGAGAGTTGGCCTACATAACACCGGGTGAAGATCTGAAGAGTCTTGGTCGAATTCACAAACACCGGCAGTTTTTTGTTTCCCGTAACCGTGTTGATGACTTTACCTTAATTTCTCTGGATGTCTACCATATGTTGTGTATCGAGGGAGTCACCAACCCCACAAGAGGATCCTGTATATTCACGGGTGATAAAGCCATCAAATAAAATCATTTAGTCTTAACAAGGCACAGTATTTATCTGAAGTCCTTGATCAACCATTGTTAGTGTTACTAGTCAGTATTATTGGTAAACATGACATAACACTATCATGATTGATAATACGGAATACCATACACGTGTTCATGAATGTATCATAAAACACTGTGGCTGCCATATTTTGTTTAGCATCTTTAAATAACAACCCGAACATATGTCTTATTATTAATTAGGATGGTTATTATTCAGTTCTATCATCTATCATCTATCTTACATATAAACTTTAAATTATATCTTGTCTGTTATTAGAAAGTCATATATCATTATATATCCTAAATTATGAAGCTTTTTGTCTGAAAGTTAACATCTGTATTTTATGACCAAATGATACCACCTTAGTGATGTTGTACCGACATATTTGTGATAATGAGAATTTAACTACTCAATCATGTGTTACTTAAACTCTTATTTAAGTTATGTGTACAAGTTACATAGGCACACATGAAATTACATCTATAGTTATCCTGTATCTCGGCATATCTCAAAGTTTATAAATATCGTCGAATTATAAATCTATCTTCATTTAGCCAGGTTTATACAGTCATGAGCGTATTACAGGAAAAATGAGTAAAACACATCTGACATTGCGACTGGTATATTCTTCTCCTGACGGTCTTACCTAAAGTAGTCACGCATTCATTAACCTGTCTCTCAGGCATATTAAAGCTTGCGACAATTAAATATTATAAATGTCTTTCCATAGTGTATAAATGACAACTTCAGAAATGAACAGCTCATAAAATGACGATGTTTTAGTTCATAATATCATGTATGAGTCCGTATTTAATTTTCCGTGTAATTGGTACACAGGATGAAGTTAGTTTGTACTGACTACCTACAGAGTAACTTATTGTTTACATACTCAGGTACTTTTCTTCCACAATGACATTTGTATTGTAACTTTTATCGTAAAACACGACTTACCTATCATGCTGACATTTTAACGACACATGAAATGATAAAATATCTTCTCTAATCATTTATCATTCTGAATAAATTCATGATTCTATTTGCGCAGTCAGGTATAAATGCTGATGTATTTCATAATAGTGTTTCTTTCAGAGACAAAACCACGACTGTACCTTCCAGCGAGCAAGGATGGTTTTCATATTTCGAATTAGGTACTAAACTTTCCACACAACAATAAAATAGAATTCGGTGATTCAAGAATGAATATTTTCAATATGATACAAATCTTGATCAACATAATGCTTAATTTAAGATCAAAGAAAAAGATAATGTCTCCTTCCGTATATGACATTCGATATGGCACAAGCATCTGCTGCATCTGTTTTTATTTCTTAAGTCAACAAATGTCATATTCACCATAGTGCCTCCATATATGGTACGCGGTTTATGTTATCACCATATGCTGTATCCGTCTAGTCTTCAGTCAATATATAATATATATATATAATATTTGTCTTAAAGTCTTCAGTCATTAAGAAGGCTTCTATCAAGATGTATCCCATCCCCACATGTGGTACCTAATGCATGTGTTATCATTCCTTGCCATTATGGCATCCTCCATTAAAATTATATAATTTTGTCTTGTATTTTAACAATGATGCCTAAACGTCATATACTATCACCATGTTGTATAATCGAACAAATTATGTCATCGGCAATCTAAAATTCAAATATTTCTATTTGAATAAGGAAATGAGAGCAAAATGTCGGATATTGATTTAACAAAAAAAGAGAGAATAGCCTTAATTCTCTATATTTAGTAACACATCCACATGAAGGAACCATTATTTCCACCAGTGCTAATAACTGTCAATCAGTTTGATATATGACATCTGAATAGAATATGTTTTTTATGCTAAATACGATGACGCAATCGTATATTAGCATTAGCGATGGACAGTATCAAATTGCAGATTCATGTTATACTATAGAAACCAATTTATTTGATTCTTATCAATGTTTTATTAAACAGATGAATATTATGCAATGTCGCGATGATTCAGTGGTATAGACATTGGCTGATTATTCGACAAAAAATTGTCTATTAGGGCATTTCCGGTTTTTGCAACATGTATTCCTATACAAATGAAGATGATTTTTTGACTGTTCAAAACTAGGCATTAAATTTACTGCTGTAAAATGAACATTAGTCATAATATGTCACAGAATAAAAAAAATTAGAATTTTGGAAAAAAAAAAAATGAATTTCGTTTATGATGACTTATCCTGACACCTTTCTATAGATAGCTAAAGCGGTGTATTATTTCTTGAAAATATAAAAATCCGAAAAAGAAACTCGTATCAGTGAAATTTATGAAGTATAGGTCTTAGACAAAACGATATAAATCACTTAAGCGATCTATGGCTGTGAGGCTGCATGACAAATGAGATGAAGCTATGTGTTACAGTACATCATTATAGATATCAAGTTTATGATCTAAATGTCAAAGTGTCAATGTAAAGGTGTTAGGAAGGAAAGGCGAGTTATTAAAAACGTTATTGACATATATCATATCAACACCGAAACAAAATGTAAAAAACTGCATTTTATAAAGGACGAAAAAGAAAATTACATATTCTAAACATATCTCAATAAAAGTCCTGTTACCGAGTAATTCGTTTCAGTATTGATTTCATCCAATTATATATAGATATAAAAAGGTAAGTATTACAGATGTATTAAGAATCGATAACAACATCAACAATTTTGTGTTGACCTCAAATCAGGCTTTTAGTAGATAAACTTACCGGCATCGTGGACGGCCTGGTGTGTTCAGGGAGTAAAACGGATCGGGCAGGTTGAGCGCGGATGATGTCACTCAAACGTCAAATACTGCCAGTGTGCTCGCTTGTCATTTCTCCATATAGTCGGAATTCAATAGACAAGTAACTCGCATTGAAATAAATTAACCCGAATGCCTTAAAGCGTTGATTACTTAAAATGCATGATAAACTTAAATGCGTTTTCTACTTATGGCACAACAACAAAAATGTATGTATAATAAACAGGAAAAGTGTCATTTACTTGTCTTTGTTTGCCTGTTTTATGTAAGCTTTTGTTCTGCCTATTGTTATTCGGAACTCTGTTTATTTGTTTTATTAAATAATACATGCAGATCACATAATTTTTTTCTGAATTAATTTATTTCAGAATGAATCATATGTTTGCTATTTATAAAAGTTCCCCGTTCAGAGCTGATTTGGATTTTCCCTTTCCTTTTGGTAGAAAATGGTAAACAATGATAATGGGTGGGTCAGAAACATGGCGGTCTGTCGAATATTTGTTCAAATTATGATATATGTAACAAAGGTCCTTATTTAATTGAATATCTACGCTACGAGTCCGTGACCCTTGACTTATTAAAGAGAAATTCGAATTTCAAGGGGTTACAGAGATGCGTGTGAAAGTAATGCTTAGGATTATTCCCAATGGGGCGTTAGTTGTTGCCGCTCGCTTTCAAACCCCTGACCCCTGCCTGACTATGTTGACCCAACAGATCGAGCTGAAGAGGGGTTCTCTCTAGCCGAGCAATATATCGCGGCAATTATTCATCAGGTTTACATTACAATGTATTCATTTAAATAACAGGATATATATTTTATCTTGCACATGTATTTTGATACGTAAAGAATTGAATGATATAATGCGAGTTGTTTAATGTACTTGAATACAATATGATCGTACAAATTCATCAGATATATATTTATTGATTTAAGACAGTTTAAGACTGCTGTAACGTAATCACGCCTGTAAAATAGTTTATTTGTTTTCATTGTTTTTAAACCGAAGAATGTGACCTATCCTTCTACATTGTGTGATACACATTCAAAATTAATTTTATGCTTTGTTAGCAAACATATTGTCTAACTATACGTATGTTTTCAGTCTTCACTGCCCAAATTAGCATTTGCACACCTTGTTAACCTGCCTGTGAACAGATGGAATATGTTCACAACAATCACTAATTTATGAAAACTAGTGAGAAAATTATATTAAAATAATTCTATCGTTAATGCTGGAGACCGTAAGTTGACAACAGACTACGGTAAACGCCAATGACACCTGCTTAAATCTACATATGTAGAACCTATTACAACTGAGACCAGATGTACTGTAAATAGCATATGACCATTTTGCGCATGTTTTATAATTGTCATGGGTTCTTAACTACAATTGAAAGGGTATCATAAAAGGAAATTTGTCCATATATAAATAATGTTTATGGGTTGTAGTGTTACTTTACTGACTGATTGAATTCATCATTTAAGCTTGGGTCTGTATCACATCAAATTAGGTTAAAATGACCTACACATGACCCTTTCAGAAGGTCAAATGCAAATACATATTTGTAACGTCTGTAAGTAAAGATATCCAATAACATTTAATCGTTTCCGTAAATCGAAATAAGACCGCAGGTCTTGTAAGTAAGAAACATATATGTGCTTCCAAGGTACAGTTTCCCACATCATCACTTTATAGATGACCGATTCAATTTAACTTGTATTGTCATTGTAATAACTGTTTCAATATGTGAAACCGAATGTAAGCGAAGGTGTAGAAACAAATTCAGTATCATAATCATAGTCCAAACTCAAATTCAATACAAAATATGAACAAAAGAAAAAAATTTTGGAAGACTTCTAAAAATGTACAAAGAGAAAAAAGACCAGGTGTTCCGGTAGAGAAAGTGTCGTCTGTTTCATCGACGACACCCGCCATGCAAATCTTGGTAAATCCAAATAAGCAATGCTAAATCCTCGAAAGGGAACAAGATATGCAACAATGGAACCAACAGCCAAACTAATGAGCATCAAACACATCCATCTTCGTATCTCACAAAGCAATATTTCCCAATGAGGTCATTGTGATGTCCTTAAAACTTCCTCAGATGATTTGTCATCCCTCTGCACATTTAAAACCCTGTGATACGAGTTTGGCAGTCAGTTGACGACTTCTAGCACAATAATTGAATAATGAATCATCTGCGATCTGTAAATACCGTAGATTGAGAATGCAGGGAGGTTGCTACCGAGAGATGAAAAAAAGGTAACTGGAATTTTCTCGCTAATTATACAACTTGGTGAAAAATTATCTATGATGTTTTCGAAATAAGCGGATGATGTAGAAAAATATGCAGTGTCTTTGATTTCGAATTCTGATGGATAGATACCATGAATATAGTAAATAAGTTTATTGCTTTTTAAATATAACACGTCACTAATATATCTGAAGATGAAATGAAACGACTTTGCAAGGTTTTTGTGACCTGCTTTCATAATCGATAAATTCAGAACAGCTAGCCGATTTTTAGTGACTTGAAACAGTCTCTATTACTTAAATACTTGGTTCCTTAAATAATTTTGATATTTTTTCTTTCTTAACATACAAATATATTGAATTTGTATTTTCTTTATGGCACCTTGCTCGACGGTGCCAAAATATTCTCACTTATCTATACTGTTTATTTCGGCTATCGTTTTACCATGACTTCCAATGTTTAAATAAACTTATGCCTGCAGATGACATATGATTGTTGAAGACATTACCAGCTAAATTTACAGCAGACACATTTAAATGCCAGAATTGGAAAAAATAAACGTATGTGATCTCTTTAGACTATAAGGTACAACATTTTTACAAAATGAAAATATTCCAATTAATAACAGGCTTTTTGATAGATTTAGACTCAAGCGGAAACGGATGTCAAAAGAGAGACTGTCCAATACCTATTCGGAAATTTTCTTGCAAATTGTCAAGTGGCGTCAAGGATAAAACCTTGTATTTTCTTTTGAATTTAGAATCTAAGCTGCTTATCACTTCTTCACATCATACAATAAATTTTCTTTGAAACTTTATTTCAATCTCATTTTGCAACTTATTTTCATACTTTCCCCACTTGTCTTTCTTCGCTTAAAATAATTTTTCATCGTGGTTGGAGAGACTGGTGGTCGTTATCTTATTGCTAGACGTTATCTCATTATAATACGTTACACAATCAAATTATAATTTTGAGGAACAGAGTATTCATTTTCTGACGTCAGAAGACAATTGTCATGACTTTTAGGTACTCATTTGACTGTTGTAGCTTTAGGGCTTGACAACTTCGAGGAAATTATGAATAAAATGTATTATAGATATTGCTGCTAAAGGAATGTCATGTTAAAAATAATTCACAGCAAAGTTTATACCAATGCACCAATGTGTTTTTTTTTTATTTTTTATCTAGATCAGTTAATATTTTCTTCTCCTAGATTTCGATAATTTGGAACCTAGTTGTTGCTGACCTATAAGGACAAAACTTATTAAATTTGATGAATCATTTGGCTATTTTGTATCACATTCTAAATTTTTATTGAAAACTGCTCTTCACTATTGTATTATTGTATTTTGCGATAATTAGCAGGATAATTCGCCTTCATTATGTGCTCATGTCTTGTGATATCTCTGTCAGCGATGATTTAGGATTTAGGAAATGGAGAAATATCTGTAACACAATATTATGTTGGTGTGTATATGAATTTAATTTTGTCTCAAATTATAATTATAATCATAATCATTAATTAAGATGTAGAGCCCTAGCAGGACGAAAGAGCTACATGCTGCAGTTTAATTCATTGTTTGGCTCTAACATTCTAAATTTGTATGTGAATTCTAACAAAACTCGTTAATAATTATAACAACTAATAATGAAAAGGAAATAAACTTTCAAATGGATTACAGAAATTTTATTCAGACGTTAAAGAAGAATAGTTTCATCGAAATTTGTTTCCTCTTTAAGTCACAAAAACAATGTCATGAACTGATCGTAATACTGATTTCGTCGTGTTGAGGTGCGACTGATGGGGTGACGACTAGGATGGTACGACATTTCCTGGTGTCAGACGGCATATTCAAAGGGTCGATTATAGCACAGCAGTCATTCAGTTCTCAATGCTTTCGTTGTCATTTCTTTTGTGAATTGTTTAACTCTGCACTTATGCAGATGATTTAAATGATTGATCTATGCCGCGCCTTTCACAGAAATTAATTGGTATTTGTGTAATCACGATTCTGGCGCCACGTCATACTGCTGGACAGATTCTAACTATGTTATAATGAATCATTGAACGTAAGTAAAATATATTCAGCTATGCAGCAGATACATGATGTGTTTCAAAGCGAATGAAAGTGGAAGGTGATATCAAATATAGCAAATGAAACTTTATAAAACAAGATACGGCGATTTAGAAATAAATACTTTAGATTTGGCATATGATTCTATCAAAGTGAAAAAGAGGCATTATCTTACATAGACTTACAAGGAAGTATCGTATCAATTAGCCACACTATCAACAATATATTCATGGGAGATCGCACGGCGGTAACACTAAAACCTGACATAATATCATATTAACATAACCAATCCGTCGGGAAAAGTAGATAACCCATACATTCTAATACAATCGCTTATCACATTGCCACATGTAAGGTATAGTTTATTACTTGCGACGTAAATGGTGACCATACAAATAGAGCGAAAATGAAGCAGAAATATCCATTTTCTACCAAATTTGCCTGAAAAAATTTTCATGTTATAAAAAGGATATCAAATCATTTTATTTTAATGCATTATTAATGAAAGTCGTAGCTAATTTCATTGAAGAGAGATTTTGAAAGATTCGTTTCATAAAGAATTTGTTCGGAAAACTATTTAGCAAATTTATTGTAACTATTCACCTAAAATATTTACACATATTTTGCCAAATATATCTTC